CCTCAAAGTCCATTGCCTCCCTCATCGGGCGATTCTGTGGCCTTCTCATTACATGTCCGTACCGTCGCAGCCGCTACTCTCCCATTTTCAGCTAGTCAGGGTCTAGCGTGATCGCCCTGACGTCTTCGTTTCTGATCCGGCCCAGTCGCATTCAACCACAGACTCATTTCAGCAGAATGCGGCTGCCTTTCATGCCTGAGCCTAAGGGCTCATCTGACCTGATACGGAGAATTAAACGGAAACTATCACTGATTACGCAGTGCTCCTCTTACAAAAGGTCGTGAGAATTCTGAAGAAATCCTACCTTTCAATGTTCACGTATTGGCGGCGATTATGAAAATTGTTCAAAAGTGTTCATAATCACGTCAACCCTATCAATTCTTCATGTTGGCAAATTTTCATTCACTTACAAAAATTATATTTCAGATGCAACACATTGCACCGAGCTGACCTATATTTTCGCCGTGGGCAACAACTGGGACTTCGAATTCAACGACAATGACAAGCGAATGCTAGAATTAACGACAAGAATGTGGACGAATTTCGCTAAATACGGGTAATTCTCCTCGTTTTTTGGTTGGCTGCTAAGGCCGTGGTTATGATGCCTGAGTGGAAGCGCTCCAACGAAACTTTTCATGAATCGTAACCAAATTGGGAGATTCATGTGCATTCAATGTATATTGATCAACCTTGGTGGTTCTGGTGTCTCTTCGTTGCGCATACATAATTTGTTGCAGAAATATAGACCCTTCTAATCTCATTCTTATTTCCATCCAAAAATAGGTCAATTGGTCTATTTCCCTTCAATACAAGCCTGACCACCTTTCAGTGGGAAATACATAGTTAAACTCACCGAGGGCAATTGAGAAGCAAGGCGAACGATTCAGGATTATCTCTCACTATTAAGAATCTGTAGCACCGGAAAGGGCTCTATTCATCGTAGTCAGTAAACAATGGTCTAGCCAGGATGCAATAAGGGCTCTAGAATCGATCCCGATGCCTAATGCCGCTTAATGCTCCCAGAAAGGACGAGTTTGGCGGTCTTGTGAAGATTGATGTCATTCTAAATGGAGCACACTTGTTGTAAATGGAACAGATACAAGCTAACAACTGGCCCACGGTTATCTTTGAATAGAATAGAATTTGGTCCGAAAAGATATGCTTCGCTCAGAAAAGGTCTTGTAATTCGTGACTCACCTGGATTTTCGCATTTCCTTCACCATCTACGAACTATAATGTGCCAAGACCTTCGCCTCCTAACCCAATAAGGTTCACAAAATTATTGCTAACTGAGTCAGTCCAGAGCACTGCCTCCGCCCTCCTCCGTTTGTTGCAGTTTTTTGACTAACTCTTTTCGTAACTTTTTCAACCCAGTGTCGAAAAATGATAGACAAAAGAGACACTTTCTTTTTCAGAGATCCGAACGGTCTAATCGAAATCCCAAGTACATCCTTGAGCCAACTATGTGATCGCCCATTTACATGGGAACCAACGTCACTTTCGAATCCTCAGAAACATCTTTCAATTTCGCTTCAACCAGAAATGAAGGAAGAATACAAGGTACTCTGTCAATAACCTAATCAGTTG